AACAAATCTACAAAAGAACTGGCCGAGTAAAGAGCAGAAATTAACAGAAGCACATTATATGCTCATATAATAGATAGAGTCCCCAAATCAACACCATGCAATGTTCCAAATAAGATGTACGTGCAGCCCGCCACACACCAGCCTGCACCCGGTTGCGGGTGCAGGAGGCGAGGCGTGGGAGGCAGAAGGGCGCCTCCTCGGCTGAACGATCTCCGGTGGCACACGCAGGGAGCAGCGGAGCAAACGGCATGGAAGCTCAAACCAGTGACATAGAAGCCTCTCCCAGAAAACGGGAAAAACGACCAAGAAATGGGAATTATAAAGAAGACAGCGGTATGGGAACAGAGAGAAAGAGCCCAGGAGATACGCTTCCCTGAAGGACAGACTGTATCAAGCAGAATGAAGGAACAATGGAACATAAAACACGGGCGCTCTCTTCGGCTGCCAAACGGGTGGCCGAGACAGGGTAAGTCCACTGCACCGCCAACTCCATCAAGGAAAACAGTCCCACGCAAGTCTATGGTGACAGATGTGGCACTTGCTTAGAGAATGGAAAACATTCTACGTGTGAAGGAAAATGATCGGAAAAAGAAGGAAACCCAGGGAAAGGGAAGCCCCCGCCTGCCCCTCCCAGAGCAGCACACGGTGTGAGACCGTGGGAAGGAGCCTATGAATTCATGGCATCATAGGTGGGAGCAAAACGAAAGACCTCTGGACTTAAAAGAACGCAGAAGCTCTGAAAACAGAACTTACGCTCTACCCTAATTCCAGGAAAATTTACACGTTTTATGTGGAATATTAAACCACAAAGGAAAGCCTTAAAATTCTAACATAGCAACAAGTGTGTATATATGAAATCTCCACTTCTACAAAGCACAGGAAAAGACTACAACTAAGAGCCAAAGTGAAACTAAAAGAGAAAGGAAAAACTATCCTAATCAATTTTAAAACTATGCTAATAAATTTGTTTTCAAAGAAATATCCTTCTGTCTATGAGTCTCGATTTTTCATATGTAAGAAAAGGTCTTCAACTTAAAGCTCCTGTAATGTCTTTGTGGCCACCCTCCCGACGCACACAAAGCACAATGACCTCTACGTATTCACTGAACATCCTCTGCCTGTCCAGCTTTCAGCCTGATGATTCACTGATGTGCACAAGGAGAAAGGCCCCCACATTCGAGGAGTGTATGATCGAGTTGGGAAGTTATGAAAATCGAGCAGCAGTCACCAACAAAATATAAATACCACAGAAATTCAGAGGAGGCCAGGGCAGGTGGGGGCTTATATATATGACTTGAGTTAGGACTCGAAGACAGAAGAAATTTGAAAATCCAGAGAAGACACGGGGAAACGACTCTGGTCGAGAATACTGTAGCAATGAAGGCTAGAGAATGTAATGGTAAACACTGACAGGAGTTACTACCGTGGCTATAGCCTAGGAAGAAAAACACCGAAGTACTAGACCAAACTGTTTATGCTATAAAATGAGCTGCGACGAGACTTTAAAGCACAGTGGCTGTGGCTGCCAGCTAAAGCTTGGAAAGGTTGCCATCACTTTGAACGTCCGCTCATATACACTTCCACTTCTAGGTGCATGTCCTATCTCTGGAGAGCAGCGTTCCCGATAAATAATGATCTTTATTTGCCACTGCGGAAGCTGACCACAGCAGAGGTGAGACACTTGGCCAGGCTTCCATATAAATGGGAAACAATAAAGGCTCAGAATAGAAAGAGCATGATGCCATTCAGGCTCCTCTGACTCTGTAAACTGTATGCTTATTTCACATTCCCATAGTCTAACCCACAAAAATTAACATAACTAAACTAAAAGAACTCTATCTCATCAAGAATGCCCCAAAAAGAAAGAAGGAAATGTAGACAGATTTAGAATTGGTTTATAATAAACAAGGTGGAGAGGACTGGGACTGCCAAGTAGGTGGGAGTGGGAGGAAATAAAGCATCTTAGTTTCTGAGCAAAATGCTGTTATTAAGTATAATTGCATCTACTTGATCCAAATCCAATATTTCTTATTCACTAAAAAGAAACATATTAAAATAGCAGCAATTTCCTTTACAAATAAACACATTTAGCCAAGGAAGCTTCTACCAAAAAAGTTGAACCCTAAAGATAATCAAAAGCAGGAGCAAAATTATTTCAGTTTCTAATTTTAACTAATAACTTATATATATACACACACACACATATATATATGTGTGTGTGTGTGTATATATATATATATATATATATAAAAATAAGTCAGTAATAATCACTTTTAAAATTTTTCAAAAAAATTACAATGAAATTCTTTCAAACAGTCTAATCCTATACTTTTATGCTAAAGTATATAAAAATAAGAAAATCTTCCAATGATTTATTGCTATATATTAACTGTGGAAATCATTAATGGCAATAGTTACACTTAATTGTTTAAAATCATAACACTGAAGCCCTGTCCACTGTGGCTCAGTTGGCTGGGCACTGTCCCATGCACCAAAAGGATGCCAGTTCAATTACTAGTCAGGGCACATGCCCGGGTTGCAGGCTGGATCCCTCGTAAGGGGTGTGTGTGCAAGAGGCAGCTAATCAATGTTTCACTCTCACAACAATGCTTCTCTCTGTGTGCCTCTCACTCTCTCCCTCCCTTGCTCTCGCTCCCTCTTTCTCTAAAAAATAAAAAATCTTTTTTTAAAAAGTGTAACACTGAAAAAGCTATAAGAAATAGAAGGTTCACTCATGAGTACCTAAGTTTAGATGTGACAGGCTATTTTTGAATATAAAGCATCTTGATGCACACTGTATGAAAATTTTTTTTTTCTCATAATAATTTCAGTTACTATTGGACCCTTGACTTGTAAGTTGCATCGGGACCAGAGTCTATAAAGTAACTATAAATATCTGCTAAGAAGCCCTATTTTTGAGCTTCTTTGCTGCGACAGTAGGCACATTCCTTGTAAATAATATGTGTGTAAAATAGGTACTTCAACTAAATGATCTCAGTAAAGTCTTTCTATACATCACTACCCTGTGCTCCACAAACATGCAAAACCACAGTGTAGTTTGTGAAGATACTGGCTCCTGAGGGGCATGGAGACGATAAGTCATTCCCACCAGCGCGGATCTGTCTTCCTGCCCCTGAGCTGCCAAAAAGAACAGCTCCTGGATGGACACGTGCTGCTGTGAGAGCAGCTCTCCCAGCAAAGAAACACCTGGCACTGCCCTGCTGGCAAGGTGATTTTCCTCTTCTAAATCCTTCACATTTTGTTTCTAGGTCAGTCGCTTGACATGGCCTCTTACTGGCAACATTAGTAGTGGGTTTTGTGTGCTTAGGAACCACGATGGACAAAACAACATAAAATTAAATCAAGCAAAAGAGAATATGATACAATCAAGAGACTCGGTAAACATGAGGTATATGAGGCTGCTGCCAATGTAACACAGCATGCTGTTCCCAGCAAACTATTTTTATAAGCAGAAGGAGTACACTAAAATAACAATTAAAGCCCGGCCGGGTGTGGCTCAGCGGTTGAGCATCGACCTAGGATCCAGGAGATCTCGGTTCGATTCCCGGTCAGGGCACAGGCCCGAGTTACGGGCTCGATGCCCGGTGGGGACGAGCAGGGGGCAGCTGATCAATGACTCTCTCATCATTGATGTTTCTATCTCTCTCTCTCCCTCTCCCTTCCTCTCTCTGAAATCAATAAAGATATATTTTTAAAAAAATAAAATAACAATTAAAAGTTTAGCATAATAAATACATAGACCAGTAACATAGCTGTTTACTATCATGGTCAAGTATTATGTACTGAACATAACTGTATGTGCTGTGCTTGTACACAATGGGCAGGTGAGTAGGTTTGTTTACACTGGCATCACCACCACCATGTGAGTAGTGTGTTGTGCTAAATGTTATGACAGCTACAACATCACCAGGCTATACAAATTTTTCAGCTCCATTACAACCTTATGGAATCACTGTTGATAGGTGTCATGATATGATGCATAACATTCAACCTCTTGATTTGGGAGGATTAATCACACAGATCAGACACTGCAAATGTCACGGAAGAATTCTACATATGGTTTTTAAATGTTCAATAAAGTGATATAATAAGCAGAAATTAATAGATCTGGGAACCTATGACACTTTATAGGAAGTGTGTTTCTATACATTTACCGAGATTTTCGATTCCTAAACATATTCTGAAATCTTGCCTTTTATACTGAGAATCTAAAAAAAAAAAAAATCACACACTTAAGGTATCTCCTTTCTCTAATTTTTGATAAATTTTGTGAATTTAATATTAAGATACAAATTCTGCCTTTTGTTTTAAATGCAAAGTGACCGTATTTAAAATCTAAACTGTCTTAAACACATAATCATTAGAAATTCTGCACCACTGGGCTTGAGGTCTGAAACAAGTTTCAAAGTATAATATTCTCACAGTCTAACAATAAGTGATCTCTAAATGAAACCAATCACGCTTGAAGAAAGCCTTTTCTATTTAAAATAATAATAATAATAATAACCTAGCCCTGGCTGGCTCACTTGGTTGGAGAGTCATCCCATATACCAAAAGATTGCGGTTTCAATCCCCAGTCAGGGTGCATAGGGGAGGCAACCGATTGATGTTTCTCTCTCTCTCTGTTTCCCTCCCTCTCTCTCTAAAATCCATAAAAAAACAGATCCTCAGGTGAGGATTAAAAATAAATAATAATCTATCGGGCAAACCATTTTCTTGGAATCTTTAATTTACAAAGGGTATCTCACTAGAAATACCAAATAAAAATGATTAATGGTTCTAATTAACAGTTTTTATATCCTTCTGCAATAAAAGTTATATTTAAAATTATTTCCATTGTTGGCACTCACACTACAATGCCACTTTTTCAGTAAAATTCATTTTTTAGAAAAATCATTTGCAATTGTTTCATAAAACTTCTGAAGAACTCCTTGACTGATTCTCTGTTTTAAAAAAAACTGTTAAGTTAAATCACTTACTGTAACGAGCCCACTCTTATGGCCACAGGAACATGGGGGAGCTGAGTGGCCCACTTCAGTGTCACGTCCTGATAAATGTGCAACAGGCTATTATGGTTTCCAATCAAAGTATTTACTGTTCCTTCAGAAACTGTAGATTGAAGATTTTTTAAAAGAATGAAAAGAAAGCAGTCATTTGCGACAGTATATTACATCCCCTTTAGGGGGTTTATGATGCAAAGTAATTATAATATCCTGGTGCTAATGCGTAAAGATTTTAAGTAATAAAACATGATTTTTCAACCTCAAGCCACCAATATCTAAAAGAAAAAAATTATAGACTTGGAAACTATAACCCGGTAGTGGCCAACATTTTTGCATTTCATCTAGAAAGCATGGATTTCATTAATATTTAACACATTTAAGCTAATAACTGACTGGGCACTCACTACAGAAAAGCCATTCTATTAGGCATTACCATGCTCCATTCTGCTTGTAAAGAGCCTGATGTTCTCTTGGAAGCATCGTGAACAGCCGCGTGTTGGAAAGCAGGGCTGCACGCCTGTGGCCAATTCTGCAGGTCCTTTTGTACAAAGCAAAGTGACTGACAAACCCAAATGTGTGCTTTCTATCAAACTTCTATTCAAACTCTGAAAGTTAAAATTTCCATTACATGTTCAGTGTAAAACTGTTCTCCTAGATGTTTAAAATACATGTGTGTGAGTTTTTCTGATGTATACAACGAAGCCTTGACGTGTAGAAAAGTGAAAAGGACATCTCTCTGCACACCTGAGCAGTAGGGGAGAAAGCAGCCTGGACTACAGTCCAGCTTCTTCATGAACTGAATCCGTCCATTATCCTTCAGGCAAAAAAAGTTTCTTTCACCGAGAACAAAAACAGAAGATGCTGACTGATCGAAAGACACAATACGGATATCAAGGGCTTGCTCTCCAATATTGAGAGTCCAATCTACCTGCAAAGGAAAACCTAAGGTCACTTTAGTTGCTAAAAACAGAACAACAGTTCAGTTACTTTCATATCAATACAATTAAGAAATTGCTTTACAACAAAGCAGACATAAACATTGGCTAATCTTCGTTCACTTTTTTTTTTGCTATGACTATATTTCTGATATTTTATAGACACTAGTAGTTTTTGCTCCATATTTTACCAGATGATATTAGCTATTCGGTGGTTCAAAAATATTCATGTAAATTTAACCAAAGAGGTGAAAGATATGTACACTGAAAATATAAAACACTGATGAAAGAAACTGAAGAACACAAATAAATGGGAAGACATGCTGTGTTCATGGATTAAACAAATTATTATTAAAATGTCCATTTGACCCAAAGTGATCTACAGAGTCAAAGCCCTATCAAAATTCCAATGGCATTTTTCATAGAAACAGAAAAAATTTCTAAAGCTCAGATGGAACTGGAAAAGACTCTAAATAGCCAAAGCGATCTTGAGCAAAAGGAACAAAGATGAAGGCATCACACGACCAGATTTCAAAATATACTACGTAACTATGCTAACCGAAGCCGCCCAGTGCTGGCATAAAAAACTGACATCTAGACCAATGGAACAGGACAGAGAGCCCAGAAATAAATCCATGCATTTGCAGTCAATTGAGCCTCCACAAATGTATCAAGAATACACAATGGGAAAAGGACAGTCTCTTCAATAAATTGTTCTGAGAAAACTTGATATCCATATGCAGAGGAATAAAACTGAACCCCTACCTCACATCATATACAAACATCAACTCAAAATGTATTAAAGACTTACACATGAGAACGAAAACTATAAAACTATTAGAATAAAACATAGGGGAAAGCTTCCTGACATTGGTCTGGGTGATGATTTTTTGGATATGACCCCAAAAGCACAGGTAAAAAATAGGGATTGCATCAAACCAAAAAGCTCCTGCACAGCAAAGGAAACAATCAACAGAGTGAAGAGACAATCTACGGAATGGGAGAAAATATTTGCAAACCATAAAGTCAATAAGGGGTTAATACCCAAAAATAACAAGGAACTCAGACAACTCAATAGCAAGAAAACAGCCTGATTTAAAAAGGATTCAACACCAAGAAATCATGTGATGACTATTTAGTTTAAATGTAGCTTTACCTAATGAAAAGATCCCACTGGACACAAGACATGAACGTCAGTCACGTGGCAGTTACATTCCTCGCTACACTGTAATAGGCTGGCATTCCTGCACTGCATATCAGTGTCTGTAACTCAGGGCAACGTGTCCCTGACTATGAGGGAGGACGACTTACTCAGAGTGGACAGGGACATCAGGTCTCTGAGGTTGCAGGCTCAGACTCAGCCATTAAATACTTTCAATTCACTACATACTGGGTGCCACTCTCTGTGCCCTCCTCTTAGGAAAACACACCACATTCTAAATTAATAAGTCTCAAAAAACACAGGGGTTTACTAAGAAAAATGATTTAAAAGTCTTCCACGTCCAACCAAGATGGAGTAACAGGAAAAGAATCCCACCTGAAACAACCACAAAATGGACAAAATATATGAAACAACAGTTTGCAAGCACTGGATATGAGACAACAAAGGACAGCAATCCCTTAATGAAAGGAAACAAATCAGGGGAGCGATATGATTGCTCCAGGTATGAAAGATATCACCTCACACCTGTCAGAATGGCTGTCATCAATAAATCAACATACAACAAGTGTTGGCCAGGATGTGGAGAACCCGCATGCTCTGTTGGTAGGAATGCAGACTGGTGCAGCCACTGTGGAAAACAGTATGGAGTTTCCTCAAAAAATTAAAAATGGACCTGCCTTATGACCCAGAGATTCCACTTCTGGGTATTTATCTAAAAAAATCGAAAACACTGATTCGAAAAGAGATATGCACCCCTATGTTCATTACAGAATTATTTACAATAGCCAAGATATGGAAGCAACCTAAGTGCCCATCGATAGACACTTGGATAAAGAAGATGTGGTATATATACACAGTGGTATATTACTCGGCCACAAAAAGAATGAAATCTTACCATTTGCAACAACATGGATGGACCTAGAGGGTATTGTGCTAAGTGAAATAAGTCAAACAGAGAAAGACAAATGTATAATTTCACTTATATGTGGTATCTAAAGAATTAAATAAACAAACAAAGCAAAGAGTCATAGATACAGAGAACAAACTGATGGTTGGCAGATGGGAGGGGGTAAGGGACTGGGTGGAAATGGTAAAGGGACAAAGTATAAATTGGTAGTTACAAAATAGTCACGGGATATAAAGTATGACATATGGAATACAGTCAATAACATTGTAATAACTATATATGGCTCCAGGTGGGTACTAGACTCATCGGGGGGATCACTTTGTAGATTATATAAATGTCTAACCACTATGCTGAACACCTGGAACTAATAGAAAATAATACTGAATGTCAACTGTAATTGAAAAATAGAAAAAAATTTAATATAAAAAATAAATCAATAAATCAATAATAAAATAAATATAACATTACTGAAATTTTTATATACAAAAAAATGGCCTTACGACAAGTCTTTTTCCAGAACCAAGTTTTTGCTGTTCAGTCTCCTGTCTTTTATCTGCATCCGTTGCGAAAGCAAGTACTTGGTACCTGTTTGAAAGAGATGAAATAATTGTAAGTGACTTCAGAGTTTAAAAGTAGAAATTATTTTAAACTTTAAAAGCACATAATCTCAATAAAGCTGATCAAGAAAAGAAAATAAAGCACATAAGCTATAAACCTTATGAACCACTTTTACCTTGGTTTTAAAAACTGTAAAATTTAGAATTGAATTCTTACTGAATGATACTGTGACATAAGACTATGTAAAACTGTCATGATCAAGAAATTATAACCATATGTCCCAAAATTCAATACTGGGGGAAAATCTATGCCAACTATCAAAGCATTTCCATTAAGATTTTATGTGACAAATAACAATACTCAAGAAAGATCGAGCACCAAAGCATCAAATAGAAAAAAAAAATGTAAATAATGCAAAGCAGCCAGATGTAGCAGAAATTATTAATGCATAATCTATGGAACCCAGAGGACCTGAGTCTAAGCCCCAGCTAAATCACTTACTAGTTGAGTGAATTTTAGCAAATTAAACTCTCTGTGTCTTATCTTCCCCATGTATAAAACGGTAATACTAATCTCTAACTCAAGCATTGTTAAAAGAATTAAAAAGTAATACAGTATCTAGTATATATCTGGTACACATTAGGTGCTCAAGCATTCATTTTAGATTAACAGATAAAGGTTTATATAAGGAGAGAGATCAATAACCTAGATTATCTGGTATGTAGTAAGTTCTCAATAATGCACATTATTACTTTCTGTAAATATTTTACAGCTTTTATTTCAATAGTGACATTTAGCTCAAATCATTCTTTAAAATAATTTATAAATATAATTCAATCTAGGAATGATTAATTTAGCCAAGAAATTATAAATTTGCTTGTTTCCCATTAATTAATGCTATATTAGAGTAATAATCCTACTCTACATGAAGGAGCTTCAGGCTCATAGATTCCTTTCCCTCCTTTTGAATCAAAACTCCCTGCATTGTTCTTCCATAGCTAAGAGGAAAATCAGTAACAGATATATTCAGACACCTCGTATGACCTAAGAGAAAGATGTCTGACCATGTGAACATCTGGGACCTCATTGAAGGCAATGGGGGATATCTAAATAAGCACTGAAATGTACACTGGTATTCAAATATCATATACCAGCTCTTAAACTGTCCTATCTCAGCCAGGAATACTGTACTTCATTTGTAAAAAATCTCCAATTTCAGTTGCAGGCAGAATGACTATAAATGAAGACAGATTTTGCAAAGCATTCCCAAAGATCAGTCTTATAGTTAATACGAAAGCTTACTATATATGAATTTCATTCATTCAATAAACATGCAGCAGGCGTCTAATACAAGCACTGACAATGGGAAAAACTACTCATGGTCTATATCCATCAGGACCTCCCAAAGTAGTGGAGATTCACATACAAACAAACAAGTGTAGCTTAGAGCGCCTTGTGCTAACAGAAGGCATGCATGCAGTACCAAGGGAACACAGTGGCAGAGACAGAAACTGAAGTGAAAGAACATATATGTTCTTGGTGTAAGTTCAGGAGAAGAAAGCTACATTTTAAAGAAAGAGTGAAAACTCATCGTGCTGGTAAAGAGTTAAAGGCACTGTGGCAAAGAAAACAGCGCATGCAAAGGCACGCAGCAGTAAAAACAAACATGAAAGGCCACAACAGTTTAGGAGAGATGCATGGCAGGGAGTGCTGAGTCATGGGAAATGAGACAAAACAGGTAAGAGGGTGAAGATCTCGGCCTTGTAAAACCATGCTAAAAAAAATCCCAGAGGCAGCTGCAGCAAATGTGTCCATACCATGAGACTGGCTTTCAAAAATGCCTACTTCTCCAGAAGTGCCAAATAATGAGACTTTACATTCCAACCTCCAAATAGGATTGGTTTACTCTCTCCAGTTCACGGTAACAGAAACAGTATGCACTGGTGACTAGACCACGAGCCCAGAGCTGCTCTTGCTATGGATCTAACCTTAGACAGTTAATTACATAGGTGGTTAATTTCCTGTAGACACCAACCTGCCAGAAGATGATACAGATATTAATGAGGTCGTTGCAAAAATCCAAAGCTTCAGAGCTGTTTGAAGCTTCTTATATAACTACAAAGAGTTATTATTTCATCTGAGGACTAAGTGAACCCCTAAAATGGCCTCATTAACATCAAAACAGCAGGCTGAGACACAGCCAAAATTGACTCCTGATTTCTAAATCCAGATCATTTCTCGTCCTGGAAGACGACTCAGAAGAGTGTTTTATTACTAAACATAGCTGACAGTAAATTTAGATGATGACAAACTCACAATAGCATCTATTTTATGGTTCTCCCTTAAATCCTCTTAACTGTGACCATTAATGTACATGGAAATCTATTTCCAAAACCAAAGAATTCCAAGCAGACTTGGAAATTCTGAAATAAAGAAAATGCTTGGATTTTTTTTCTTACCATTCAAGTGTTCAGTGATATAAACTAAAGAATAAGATTCCCTTGTTGGGACTGCTGAAGAATAATCTGGCCCAATATGGTAAGATTCCATGAAAGAATGTGACACATGTTTCTTAAAACAGAGAGGCAGTAATCACAAATACAGCAGGTCTCCAGGTGACTGGTGGTGCTTTTTGGTCCAATAACTACAAATGCTTAATGGGTCCTGTAGAGCACCAATGACAAACTCAACCACATAATTTAGTGCTCTTCTGTATCACATCGTAAAAACAGCAGCAAGTAACTAAAATATGGGTGGAGGCGTCACAGAGTACAAAAGTAAACCGTCCACAATCACTTATTTTCAAATGAAACATAGTTGGCACCTCAACGGATAGCAGGATTTTGGAACCTTGATATTTAATTCTGGGGACTCTACTAGAAACGGAAAGCTCTGGATACAAAGCCTTCCATTGTTCCTTTTCAACTACAGCTAAAACACTCTTGATTATGCCAGAGAGAATCATTTTCATTAAGAGAAGCCAGTAACAAAATAGAAACATTCTTTACAAATTTTTCACTCCTTCATCAAGTTCTTCTTAAACACCTACTTTCAACAAGGTACAATGCTGGGCACTTTGGGGGATACAAAATCCCTACCATCAAAGATCACTTAGCTCAGTCAAGAAGAAAAACAAGCAAATACGTAATATCAATGAAAGCATGAACAGTACTTGTGGAAAGCAGTGAAAAACTACTCTGAATTGAGAAGGAGGAGATGTTACTTAAAGCCAGGTCATAGAAGAACTGAAGGGAGCAGGGAAGCTTCCACACATGATTTTGATGTGTAGAGAAGAAAGGAAGACCATTTCAGATAGAGTACAGCACGAGCAAGAGAGGAGAGAAAAGCCCTGAACATCTACAGAGAACTCCAAATATTTCAATTTGACAAGAGCCTAAGACTGATGAAGAATACAATCTTCTTTTTAAAATACTGTCAATTAAATTCAACAAATGTATTTTAAAATATGAATTTAAAGCCTATTATCTACTTACAATGTACTGCGAGCCACTATAGGGGTAAAAGGAAAGTATTGAGCACAGAGGAGAGAAAATATAACTCATGAAAAATCCATATACTTCTTCAGGGAGCCTCCCTACACCCAACTCTTTTTTAAAGGTCTCACCTGTAGACCTCCTCAGTAACTTGTGCAGTTTTCCTACAGCCTGTATCAAAATGAACTGAAACAGCCAACTGATTTGCTACCTCCCCGACTTGCTTACATACTGCTTGAGGACAAGAGACAGGCCTTATTTGAATTTGCATTTCTTGCATTTTGCACAGTGTGTGGCACATAGAAGCCTCTTGAAAAATGTTTTCTGAAAGCATGAATCAACAAACCAAATTATTCCATCAGTGAGCAGATATTTAAGACAGATTCTGCTCTCAGGAACCTGATAATGCAAGACATCCTCTGGAACACCTCAGCATAATACAAGAAGGCAATATATGATATTGTGCAAAAATCAGTGTTTTAGGCAAAAACATATCTAGGAGGTGAAAAAAGGAGGATAGTTGAACCAGTTAATTTTAAAAGTCCCTTCCAAATCTGAAAGTCAACATAACAGAGGTAAAATGGCAGTGGATTATAAAAAGCACTAAAAGTCAATATAAGAAAGTTTTGACTTGAGGTGGTGAACACGCAACGCAATATTCAGATGATGTATTACAGAATTATACCCCTGAAACCTGTATAATTTTATTAACCAATGTAACCCAAATAAATTCAAATTTTTTGAAAATGAAAGTTTGGATTTTTTAATGGGAAACAAAAATTCTGGCTTAAAGAGATGTTTTAAAAAGATGGTTATAAGAAGGACACTAAAACCTAGAGGTAAGAAAACCAGAAATCCAAGTGAAAAGATAAAAGGCTCAATGCCAAAGGGAACTGGAAGCGTGGGCTGAATGGGGGGGTGGGG